CTGTAGCTCAAATACTTTCAGAGTTATGGCCGTTGAAAGATTTTGGTCAGTTTTAGTACATTTGGGGAAATGACCAAATTTCACTAAAAATGAATTTGACCGTTGTCTTTTGCTCTTAAAAATCAGCCACTGGTTCTTTACGGGTAAATTTGTGTTCTGAATCCGAATCCGTCGAGAGATTTGACGGTTTACATCGTCTTTACTGGCCTTGAAAACTTTCATTTTATTAGGGGCTTATGGAGGACTGTTTTTCCAGAATGGCAATAAGACGATGTAATCCGTCAAATCTCTCGACGGATTCGGATTCAGAACACAAATTTACCCGTAAAGAACCAGTGGCTGATTTTTAAGAGCAAAAGACAACGGTCAAATTCATTTTTAGTGAAATTTTGTCATTTCCCCAAATGTACTAAAACTGTCCAAAATCTTTCAACGGCCATAACTCTGGAAATATTTGAGCTACAGCGGGGTGACTTTGCACGAGAGTTGCCCTATATTAGACTCTACTTTTGGTCAAAATCAGACGTCGATCGGACATCGGGGAGGGTAGTTATTAACGTTTATGTGACTTAGTGTCGTTATTTAAAATAAATCAACTTCAGGGCCGTTGCGGCAGCACTAAAACGTGTCCGATCGGTCTCCAAAAAAATAGATTTTTTTTTTCATCGAAAGAAACAAAGTCTGACCCTAAGACCTTTAAATATCTAAAAAGTGATTTTTAAGTGCCAGTCTAGTATGCGGGGACTAACCGCGCGCTACTTTTCCCCGAAGAACTGTACGCGTACCTTTGATTGCAGTGGCACGCGCAAGGTCTTAACGGAATGTTTAGTTTACACTCTACCTAGAGCCGCAATGATTAACTTGTTGACTTTATTTATCAAACTCAGAACCACCGGAATATAGCAGCAATGGGTAGCAACGGACTACAGCGCCATCTAGCGAACAGCACTGAGACATTCAAAATATCGGAGCAAGATATACCTTGTACATCTTTCGGAGAGACCAAAGATTCTGTCACAACGTGAATATTTCTCCAATCATTTCTGATATGATTGCGCTACGTAAACAAACAGATATCAAAAGAACACCTCAAAAATGACTTTGCCATGACATCTTAAAGTGTATATTTAAACAAGTCCTTGTCTACATCATCATTTAACGATGTTCGATTCCATGTATATACACAGATATTAGCAATGTCAGGAAACGATATCATATGCTCATCATGGAGGGAATATCGGATATCGATATTCCCTAGATATCTCAAATACGACGTAAGGAAGACCGATTTTTCTTACATCTGCAAAAGTATATCGTCAGTATATCATTCATGAGATATGTGATTTAACATGTCGTGACAATATCTGAACTTGAGTAAATATATTCAAGATATATTATGTATGTCTTTATGATGTTGCTTTCATGATATCGGTAAAAAGACATGTTTTCAGATATCTGCCAATGTGCAAATGATATCTTCTGCTGTGTGGGCCCTTTCTTTAGACACAGATTATATCAAATGTACTAGCTAAGAAGACTTACACGTACAAATGACTTATTAAAAACTTTGATGTGTCAAAATTCCGAAGCGCCATCTAGTGTTCGAGTGGTTGAACTCATCTCAGTCCGCAAGTGTCCACAAGTGTCCGTGGGTATACTATGACGGTATGCAACTGCTCGGTACGTAAAATTAGAGAAGAGTCGATGGACAACTCGTGGACATGTCGGCGGACATGGCACGAACGTCATGATGTGCCAGGCAATGGACATGTCGATG